ACACATAGCATTGGGACAATAATTGTGAGTCCCACAAGAGATGAGGAACTATGACATTTTTTTCTCTGGGTGCTCTTCTAATAAATCCCAAGGCTCCTGACTCTTGGGCATCCTTCATCTTCCATCAGCTCCAAGCCAGGGACCCAAAAATAAGTCAGAATTACCCTTTGCTCTCAAGGAGCCCTTTAGGCAGCAAGTGTTGCTATGGAAACTGCAAAGCCATATTCAGACACAGCCCTTTGCAAAGCCCAGAGCGCCTCCCAAAGGAAGTAAATCCTTAAAACCAGGCAGATAAAGCACCTGGGAGGCAGAAGCAAGAAGATCTCAGTGAGTTCAAGGCTAGTCAGGGCCACACAGTAGGACTGCTTCAAAACAACCACAACCAAGGGTATCTGAAGAAGGATCAGGGTAGGTCTCTTACTGGGATCCACTAACTCTCTGTAAGGGGCTGGACTGTGCATGTACGTGTTCAGCAGCAGTCTGGCCTCTGACCACTAAAAGGTCCATCTCCATCCTCACACATGCCATCTGGGTCATGATTAAAGCTGGCTTCAGCCACTGCCAAATACCTCACTAATTCTGGTGAGAAAGCTCAGGGCAGGAGCCCGCCAGGCACTGAAAATGAAGACTAGCATGCAAAAGCATGGAGGAACAAACCAGGGTGAGCTGGGCATGACACAGGAGAGCAGGAGGCATAGGAAGAGAATTGCCGTGAGCAGGAGCAGAGATTTTTCAAACCCAGGCAAAGAGTCAAATTCTTCTTAACAACGGAGTGAGAAAAGCCAGGCAGATCAGACAGCCTGGGGTAAGTTGGATTAGCATGTATACTACATGGGAATACAGGTGGTCAGAGGAAACATACACAGCTAACTAATCACTGAGTTGTGGATATGTGAATATGTGGAAATGTTGCCTGCACTGCTCCCGTGGGGAAGCCTCAGGCCACTAGCAGACAAAATGTGTTTGGAAGGACTGTTGTCAGCACCCCGAGTGACTCTGAGTGGCACTGCCCTCTGCAGGTGCCTGGGTTTTAGAAAGAGTCAAATCTCAGTGTGAAGGTAACAGATTAGGGCTGTAACATTAGAAATTGGTGTGGTCGATGGCATGTCTTTTAACTAGCATGCAGTCTCCCAAGATATATAAAAAATGAGTGTTACATCTGCAGACAGATACATTCTGCAGTAATTGTACCTCAAGATTAGCTTCCTAAGGCATTTCCTGTTTCCTCACACAAATGCCTGAACCTCTCCTAACCTTGGGTTTTTGAGTCTCCCCATAGATCACTGTAGTGTGGTTTCTAATTCAATTCCCTCCACATCTCTCCTCCAGTGACAGCTCAAAATGGGGCAGTTTAATTAGAGGTAATACTTGACAACGGGCCAACAAGTACTCTCCATTAATGAGGTGCACTAATTTCCTTAGTGGAGCCATTACCTCTGCCAGGCTGACTCCTTGCCAGAAGTCCATATGCAGACGGGGAGATGAGAAAACTAGATCAAACTGATATCCCAAGTCCCACAGATTCCTCTGCGGGTTTCCTTGCTCCCTAATTCTATCTGTTAGACTCCTGGACTGACACTGCTGTCTGAAACACCAGCAGGCACTGCCAAAGCACACAGCATGTGCAAAAGCAAACAGGTGGGAAAGCTAGATACCAAAAAGCTCTATGTGACAAACCTAGGGATATGGGGAGGGGTCAGCAGAACAGGTGACACAGCTAGAGTTACTCGGAGACCACAGCACAGAGGGCCTTGGTGTCCCTTGACAAGTGACAGTGTTGGGTGACTTGCTTTGTGGAAAGAACAACCCTAGCGGCTCTGCTCACACGGCTGTGGAAGGGTACAGAAGTGTGAAAGGAAAACAATGCTGCAGAGTCGGTAGGGAGAGGTCAGTGCACTCTACCATTTCCCTGGCTGCGGCATTTAGACACTCCGAAGCATACTGTGGGGACTCAACGGACAAAGTCAGCCATCACTGTAGAATAAAGTCTTAAAAGCAGGTAAAAACAGAAATGAGAAAGTTGGGCATGGTGGTGCAGATTGGGGACCACAAGTCTGAGGCCAGCCTGTGCTATGTAGTGAGACCCTATCAAAGGTGTTTCTGAACCCAAAGAGTATGCAGCAGGAGCAAGATGAGAGAGATCGGATCTGGTGGTGGAGCTGATAGTAGGACAGAGATTAGACACATGAACAAAAAAGCAACAACAACAAAAAGCCCAGCAAGGCCTTCTGGTATACAGGATGACTAACCTCGGTTCCAGGTGCTGGCTAAGGAGCAGCTGTAGGTAGAGGTGCGCCTGGCTAGAGAAGGGTGCTTGAGAATCTGGGACTTACACAGCTGGATGAGGCTGTCCACAATGACTGGGCTTGGAGGAAGGAAAAAAAAAGATATCTGGAGACTTAAAGCAACATGTAACTCCCAACACTCCTCAGTTATCTGGAGGAAACTTACCAGTAAGTCTCTCTCTTGGGGATGTCCTCAGTGGAGTGCCAGAGCCGGGCATGAGAGATGATATCCAAAACACGTTGTTCTTGGTTCTGTACATGATTCGCTGGATCATCAACAAGACTAAGCACTTTCTTGGGGAGGCCCTCTATTAACTTGGTCTTAGTAAGCCAGAGAGCCTGCTTCATACCTTTAGGATAACCAAAAAGAAAAAAAAGAGAGAGAGGACAGCTCAGAAAGGGATGTCCATGCCTGCTAGGGAGTACCATAGAGAAGAAGCTGCCTCAAGAGAGGGTTGGTTTTATTTTTGAGATGTCTGAGAAACAAAACTTCCAGGTGGTGAGAGTGAATGAGTGCTTAAAAACGGAAGTTCAAACCATGCTCAAGACAGCTGAGTTCCCTGCTGACTCCCCACAGAGACATCAAAGCTGTGAACCTGGCTCAGTGGATACCAGCCCTTCCAATAAAACCCCAGCTCTGTGACGTTTTTCTGCTAGCAATCTCAAGCCAACTTTTATGGCTCTCTCTCTAGCATATAACAAAACAAATAGTATTTAGAGTTGCCATTTACTGAAAGTCACTGTGTCATGAACTTACCCATAAGTTAGATAGGATTCTGACATGAAGGAGAAACTTGGACAGACTGAGTTTGCTTCGAGTTGCCTATCTTTAAGGTGATACAGGTCAGAGGAGAACCTGAGCCTGTCTACCATAAAGTCTACAATCTCTCCATAGCCCCAATCTGATTCTCAGGCCCATACCTCACAAGGGTTTACTGTCATTTTATAAGACCTCTCTGTGCCTTGAGAACGTGTAGGAAAGAAGATAGATTTTCAGACTACTACATGAGTACAATTTTTTTTTTTTTTTTTTTTTTTTGGTTTTTCGAGACAGGGTTTCTCTGTGTAGCCCTGGCTGTCCTGGAACTCACTCTGTAGACCAGGCTGGCCTCGAACTCAGAAATCTGCCTGCCTCTGCCTCCCACGTGCTTGGATTAAAGGTGTGCGCCACCATTGCCCGGCCTCAATGAGTACAATCTTCTGGTCTTTTTTCTAAGGCAGGGTTTCTCTGTGTAGCCCTGGCTATTCTGGAACTCAGGCTGGCTTGAACTCACAGAGATCTTTCTGCTTCTGCCTCCCGAGGGCTGGGATTAAAGGTGTGCACCACTTCCTGGTGTAATCTTAACTTCTGAAACACATCCATCCACTAGGCATTCACTGTCAGGGTAACTCATAGGGGTCATGTCTGTGAGATCCTTCCCAGCACCTCCTGAGTTCACTGAAAATGGTTAATAGCTAGAAAAATCAGTTTACAGGCATAAAGTGGGCATTTTAGGAGGCTGACCTATGGCTATCGATTTTTCCAAACTTATGACTGATTCTCTTAATTTGGCTCCAAACCTTGTTAGGTCTCTGTATTTCCTAGTTATCCTTTGGAATCTCCACTCCCACATACTTGAGTTGTTTTTATTTTTAGGATCTGCCCTATCCTCATCCTGATCTGCTGAACAGAGGTAGAAGTTTGAAGAATAAATAAATAGTCAACTCTGGAAAACAATTCCTGACAGTACTCTCAAGAAACAGACTGATTTTGAGATACTGCTGTGTCGTGCCCCCACTCCCACCCCTACAGGGTTTCTCTGTGTAGCCCTGACTGTCTTGGAATTCATTCACTCTGTAGATCAGGCTGGCCTCCAACTCAGGAAACAGGCTCAAGACATTCTGACCTGTTATTAAGTGGGTAGACTTTTGGGTGCAAATCCGTTCCTTGAAAATGTATTTTAACAAAACACACTGACTTAGGAAAGGAGCGATAAAGACCTGCTTCGTTATCACCTCCCCCTACACTCATCCTCCGTTGCTCCCTCTCACAAACACTGCCCTTGATCCTGACAACTCTTGGAGATGTTACTCTATTCTACTTCGCAGAGGAAGAAACTTCCCCAGGGTCGGGGTCACTGCTGATAACAGGGCCTCCTCCCGTTTGTTCTGCGGCCTCACCCTCAAGGAGTCGGGAACGCTGGTGGAAGATGTAGCAGGGTTCCTCCTTGTACAGAGGCTGCTCGTGGATGGGGGCCGCACGGTGGAACCGTGGGTCATTCCAGCCGCGTTCCCACGGCGGGAAGATCGGCTTCGCCAGCCACGGAACGAAGTGTTTCTTTCCCTCGTAGGTAATGGGCTCCAGACCAGGGATCTCGTACACTCTGTCCAGGGGGGGAGGCTCGGGTTTCCGCGTGGAGCGCACACCCCACTCATACGCCCCGCGTTTCGGGGCCCCATAGCCCCCGAGGCCGAGTCTCCCAAAGCCAGCTAGTGCCCGCATAGCGGGCCCGGACGCCAAGGCCATACCGACTCAGTCTCCACAACACCACTACCTGGACGCCGCCATCTTTGCCCATGCAGGGCTTGCTGGGAGCAAAAAGGGCGGAGCTCAGGTTTTGCAAATGACAGACACTTCACCCAATCACAGATATCCTTGCTTTGTCCCCGCCCCTTAGGCAGTTCCCATCCTTATAGGTGGAACTTGCAAAGTGCTCTTTGCTTGGGGTTTCTGAAGTACCTCAGGGGAAGAGACTTGGTGATAGGTAAGGTAAGCGTGGTGGTGGTGCTTGAGGCCAGAGCCGAGGAGTGTAGGGACCTCAAACTGTTGGAAGTCTTTGACCATTAGGCATTTTAGAACTTGAGAGGGGCCAGTCTCCTCGCTGTAAAATTAGGAGTTAAAATGTCTTAGCAGGTCTGACGCCTAGTGAGTTCTGGAACTGTCCTCCTCTCCACCCTTCTCACTGTTTCCTGACTGCGGCTTCCCAGAAGCCTGCGAGTGGCCCGGGTACCTCTACGCCAGCTCATCAGCCGACTGCTGGCACTGCGGCTCGCCCAGCGCCGAAAGCGAGTTACTTTTGCTCTGCTCCTAAGATTTCTGATTCCTGGAGGCGGGACCAGTGCCGGGAACTGCTCCTTCGTTCTGCACTTGGTTCTGGCAGGCTCGCTGTGGGGGTCAGGGTGGGTACTGTGCTAAGCATCGGGTGGATGTGTAGAGAGTAGGTTGAGGGACCAATATGAGTGAGTACATGAGTGAACTAAAGTGAACGGTGGCAACACACACATGCTTCCTGCCATGTCCTTAGGTCTTTTCTCTTTTTTTGACCACTGTCAAAGTTGCTATTCAGTTTTGTTTTGTTTAGTGACCGTTCTGTGAACTCTCCCTGGCTTCCAGAGCAGTTGCATGACGCACAGTTTATGTTTAACAAATGAATACATATTAGGACAAATACGGTGCTTGGTAATGACAAGGGGACATACACTCCCTCCCCAAACCCTTGTCATAAAGAGAGACACCATTCACTTAGGTATCTGATGGACAGCATGCTGTAAAGACGGATTGATTAGATGAATATAACACTGTGCTAGATCCAGCACCTAATCCTGTACCTAGCTCCCAGACCCTAGAGTGAACACTCACCAGTCAGTGGGAGCTTCCTGTATGCCAGAGGTTTGGCAGAACACAGGAAGAGTAACAGACCAACTTCATTCTCACTGGTGCCTCAGCCTCAGAAACATACTGAAGTCAAAGAGCTTCTTTTTTTTTTTTTTTTTTGGTTTGGTTTTTCGAGACAGGGTTTCTCTGTGTAGCCCTGGCTGTCCTGGAACTCACTCTGTAGACCAGGCTAGCCTCGAACTCTTGAACTTAGAAATCCGCCTGCCTCTGCCTCCCAAGTGCTGGGGTTAAAGGCGTGCGCCACCACCGCCCGGCCTAGTCAAAGAGCTTCTTGCACAGTAGAAAAGGTCTTCTGAATCCAAACCCCCTTCTCTGCTAAGGTTTATTTCACACACACACAAAACCCCAGTAATTGTAAGTAGTAAGTGCGCCCCATACACAGCAGATGCTCTGCTTAAGCCATCCCTGTCCCTAGAGCCTGGTGGGTCTTGGGGAGAGTGTGTGTGAGAGAGAACAGAGTATAGCCCCCATGCTTTCCTTCTCCCAGGCTGACAGCAAAGAGGAGCCCCATATTGCCCAAGCCCCGCTGTCAATGGCTGAGAAGGAAGATGATGACGTGGAGGCTTGGCTGCAGTTGAAGCCTGTGGAGCCCTTGCCCTCCCAGTGCTGCGGCAGTGGCTGCTCGCCCTGTGTGTTTGACCTCTATTACCGAGACCTGGAGAGATGGGAAACAGCTAAAGCCAGAAATGACAGGAGCCTGCTGAGTGGGAAGCCGCCACCTGAGAGCCAGGTGAGAGTCCAGAGTGGCAGCATCTATCTGGCCCTGCCCTGCTCTGCCCAGTGCCCCTGCTATGGGAAGCCTTCCTTCACTAGGCAGTGGAGAGAAAGAAGTCCTTATAGTGGAAGCAGATAGATCCAAGGAGCAAAGTCCAGACCAGAAATCAACCTATTAGCTATGTGGATGTAGTCTAAGTCCCTTAACCTCGTGATGCCTTTATTTTTCCATCTATAAAATGGACCAATTTATTTGTGATGTATAACACCAAACCTAATAATTATTTCACCCAACAGATATCCATTGAATACCTGTTATACCCCAGACCCTATAAGCCACTGAGGTTTTGTGAGTGAGCAAACTAACGTAGTACTGTACAGTTAGCTTCCTGAGCCTGGACTTTCTTTCGAACTCCTGCCATATTATCTGTCTCTGGTGTTAATAAATCTGTTTCCAGAAAGACAGTCTAGCCCAGCATTCCTCCTGAAATCCAAAACCTAAGACCTTTGAGGCCTCAGTTTCCCCATATGTGATACAAGGATGTTAGATTGGACCATCTCTAAGGCTCCGTCAGTTTTTCAACTCTCTAGATCTGGAACTTAATAGATCTGAAGATGAGCAGGTGTTTTGTGTAGAGGATACAATGTGAACAGTCAAGACCTTGAGGTAGATAGGCAGTGATGGCGGCCTTGGGAGGAGAAATGAAAGTCTAAGGTCTGTTCTGAGGCAAATAAAATGAAGCTTGTAGTTGTCCACTGCTCCTTTGCATGCAGGCTTGGGAGCCTGTGCTTGGTCCTGCAGCTGTGGGGAGCTGCAGAAAGCTTGCAAGAAGAGTAAACTCCATGTACTATGCTGTAGATCGAGAGGAAGCAAGGGCCGACTCTGTCACATCAGGAGCTGGCTCTTGTGAAATCAGGGAAAGTAGCAATAATGTGTGTCCCTTGGGTCTGACCTCTAGAGGTTAAATCTTTTCCTGCCATAGGGCTGTGCTGCCAAGCTGAGTCCAGAGACTTTCCTGGCCTTTCACATCAGTACCATGGAGAAGGTCACCAAGGATACCTATCTTGTCCGATTTACACTACCTGGGACCAGTCAGCTCGGCCTGCTTCCTGGGCAGCACCTCATCCTACGGTACATTCAGGTAGTGGGAGGATCAGTGTCTACCGCCCTGCATTGCCATTGACCAGCTAAATAACTGGGGGAGCTTGCTTGACCTTTCTTAAGCCCTTGTTTGCCTTCTTCAGGATGGACACAGCAGCATAAGACTCAGGGTCCTTGGTGTGGCGCTCATAATGTTTTTGTGATGTATCGTAACACCAGCACTTTGATAGCACTTACTAGTCAAGGCATAGTTCTGTCTACTCACGTTCATGAACTCATTTAACCTTCACAAAATCCCCAGAGGATGCTAAAGTCAAACTCACAGGAAGTCTTGGATCAGGATTTGAAAGCAAGCAGTGTGTCTTTGGAAACAATGTAATTAGCATCTGATGATAGAAAGGACACTAAGTAAAGAATCTGAACATATAAAAGGTAGAAGCAAGAGAATTAGAAGTTTAGGGTCAGCCTTAGCTACATCTCAAGTTTGAGGTTATCCTGGGCTATATATCTTATCTCAAAAACAGTAATGATAATAATAAAAGAGGAAACAAGCAAGCAAACAAAAAAGTTTCCACCCAGCTACCAAGTCATGGAATCCAGATTCCAGCCTAGACAGCCTGACTGCTGAACTACATTAGTGTCCTTTCCTCTGAGAAGAGTCCTCTGAGCTTCCTTCTGAGCTGTGCATCCCAGCCTGAACCATCCCCACCTTTACTGGGAGAGCATCTTTCAGACAGGCAGTTGTGGGTATGTGAGGCTCTGCAGAGAGATCAGTACTGCAAACATGGATCTGGACGATACCTTCACACACCCAGGCAGCATTCGGGAGCATATTCATATGTGGGAAGAAAAATGGGCATAGAGCAAAATGGGCATAGAGCTGAACCCCCAAAATTCTGGAGCTTATGGAGTTGGCAAGAAGAGAAGAAACCGACAAACAAACCAAAACAAAAACCCACAAAGCATGGCCCAAAGACAAGGCAGGAGGGAGCTAGAAAGAGTTTACTGCTGGTCAGACTGGCCACTTACCTCCAGGTGCTCTGGCCTGTGACCTGGCTGGCAATCCTTAAGTTCACCATTCCAGCTGTCAGGAGAAGCCATAATGCTCTGAAGCTCTCCATCTATGAATTGGAATGACCAGGACACCCTGCTTCTAGGCTGACTCCCCTCCATCCTCTCTATCACCCAGTGACATTCCTAAGACATGTGACCATGTCACTCAGTAAGACATATTCTGGTGCTCCTTATTGCTTCAGTACCTGACTCCAGCAGACGTCTGAGTTCACAGGTGAGCATGCTCATTCCCTCTGAGACACAGCAGGCTGTACCTGCTGCAGTAAGCGGTGTCCTGCTCTCTGCTTCTGACAGGGCCTTTCAGTCTCCAGACTCCAGAGGTGAATGTTTTGCAGACAATGAAGCCAGAGAAAGGAGTTCTTGGTGTGCCTAGAAGCTGTCAGGATTTTTGTTACTATTGTTTGGGTGTGGGGTTTTGAGTTTGTTTTTTATTGTGGTTTGTTTGTTTTTACTCGGTCATTATGTACTTCAGGCCAGCTTCAAACTCATGTTTTTCTGCCTCAGCCTCCCAGGTGCTGGGACTACAGGGTCCACTACTACACTTAACTGCCTGAGACACTTTGGTGAGCAGAATTAAACTTGGATTTAGGGCCATGGCCAATGCCAATTGTGCAAGGGCTTTCCTGCTCTAAACTGCATTCTGCATTTACAAGTTGTTTTGGTTTTTTATTTTAATTTTTATTTTATGTGTATGCCCGTGTGCTTGAGGGTATGTATGTGCACTGTGTGTGCAGTGTCCATGGAGGTCAGAAGAAGGTATCAGTACCTTGAACCTAGAATTACAGGCAGTTGTGAACCTCCCAGTATGGTGCTGAGAACCAAACCAAGGTCCTCTAAGGTGAGCTAAGAGTGCTCTTGAGCTCTGAGCCATCTCTGCAGCCCTGGGTTGTTATTTTAAATGAAATTAGGTATATAATATGCCTAATATACAGTAGGCATTCATACCTCATAGCTGTTATCAGGACTCAAGATTGCTCTCCTGACCTGTTTAACATTGTAAAAACAATCAATACATTGGCAGGGCTTTGGCCTCCAGCCTTTAGAGGACTCTTCTAGTCCTCGTGCTTGCTGGCCTCTGGTAATGTTTCATAAGCTGTCAGCAGCTGCTTTTATCTGTATTATTTTGTAGTGGAGAAGGAAACCAGAGTAATGTCCTGCAAACTGCTCACAGCCTCAGTGTACTCTTCGATGTACTGTTCTGTCTAATTCCAGTGAAGTCAAACAACCAGGACCTAAATGGCTACTCCTCTGTTACAGGAGGTGCTGCTGAGAGATAAAATACTGTGCACAGGTCTCACGGGTAGCCAGCGTGGGTGGTGGTGAGCTTACTGTTCTTCCATCTGCTGTTCCTTACTTGTCCCTTGTTGAGGACTTTTGGGAGTGACAGGAACCTACTCTTCATATCCATTAACCAGGCAGGGGAGGTGTCGTTGTTAAATGGCTGACTACCCGACTTTTTGTGCACTTCTCCTTTCCAGAGGTGTAGTAGATGGCTTAGAAATTCAGAGAGCCTACACTCCCATCAGCCCTGTCACTGCAGAAGGATACTTTGACGTTTTAATCAAGGTGAGTTGATTCTTATTGAAGATTCCATAAAGTGCTATGGACTCTTATCTTCGTCTCTGGCTTGCTTGGGGTGGAGGGTTTCCCATCTATTAGTTGGTATGAGAATGGGCTGGCTTGAAGGAGTTTAAGAGGGGGGTCTCCTTCTCCTTTTCTAAGGATGCTGCTGCTGTGTCCAGAGGGCATGTTATTGGGATATTTTAGGAAATCCTGTACTTTATCACCTTCTGTGTACTGGTAAAAGGAGAGTACTGAGCTGAGAAGTGGGGAGGAAGTCCCTGCACCAGTATGTGCTGGCACAGGAGTCCAGCCTGACCTGTAGGGACCCAGAACAAATAATCAGTTCAATACAGCACAATGTGATGCTTGCCATGATTGTGGAGACCCAGCCCAACACAGGGCATCTGTAAACAAGGAACTCAGGCCCAGCTTCCTGGTAGATGCTATGTGTTTGAGGGCTGAGAAACAAGAGAAGTATGGGAAGAAGGCTCTGAGGGCTGGGAGCAGCACAGCAGAAGAGGCATGAAATGGGAAAAACATTCATCCTGGCACAGAAGGGCCAGGGTGCCAGAGAAAAATGGGCATGAAGACCCTGCAGACAGAACTACCCTGACATGCTCTCTGGGAGGTTGGCCTTGAAGGAGGAGTGTGAACTGATGGTGGCAAGGAATGAATGGCATTCCAGGCTAAGAGTACTGATAGCCAGACTTCAGAACGGGTGACAGGAAACAGGCCTTCTGGAAACTACGTTCAGCCCAAGTGGTGGAAAAGAGGATTCCTATGGGGCAGCTGGGCCACTGAAAACGTCAGGGCTGAGTGGAATGGGTTGGATACAGAATGCCCTGGAGACCCAAGATCTGAGCAGTAAGTTACAGTCACAGAGGCCCAGTGTGAAGAGACTAAAGAGATTGTTTTCCATGGACCTGCTGACCCGCTGACATTTGACTTCCAGCAAGTGGAGCTTTATGTGTGTTCCTGCTGTAGCTCTGCTAGGCATGTTCAGTCTTCTGCCCTCACAACACCATGCTGTCATCTACAAAGTTCATGCTCAGAGCAATTGAATTAACAAACAAAACCCCAAACAAAAATACTAATAATGATTTAAAATAAGTTTCAATTTTGTGTCAGACCACTTTCATAGCTATCCTTAGCTGATTGTGGCCACAGGCCACAGGTCTGACATGCCTGCAAGTGAGAACATTTTTCTCATGCACTCCTAAGAAGCATCAGTATTGAAGGACAGCTTTGACATCCAAGCCTCCTTACAAGGCTGTGTCATTATCTCGTTCACTGGTCAGCAGGCTGAGGCCCAGAGGACCCGAGGTGGGAGGTGGGGGAAGGAGTGATGTGGGTGAGCAAGCCCCTGATTCCGAGGCCTAGAGCCGACTTGGGCTCCTGCTTTCTTGCCTGCCTGTGAGCCTGAATGTTTATTCCTTCCCACATAAGCCTGGACGAGCTCCCTTCTGCACGCTACTGTTTGTCTGGGAGATTCCACAAATCCTTTCCAAATGGCCTGCTTCCCTGTGCTGCTTGTCTAGGGCGCTTCTGCTGAGAGGATAAGCCTGGAGACAGCTCTCCAGAGCAGCTGGATCCCTCCCAGCTGCAAGGCTGATTTTCTCCTTCAGAGCAGTATCTCATTATCCCTAAGCCACTGGCTGGAAAGAGCTAGAAATGTCTTTGCAAATTGGGAGGGCAGTGGGGATTTGTGGGTTGACTTTCCCAAGAGGAAACTAAGGAGGGCTCTGTTTTCAGGCACTCGCTAGGCACTGGGTACACTGCTTGTAACTGTTGTCATTTCAACTCTTGACCTTGAGAAAACCATACTATCCCCAGTTTACCAATGAAGAAACTGAACCTTAAAGGCCTCTTGGGTAGTAGGACAAAAGCTGTCTTAGTTTTTCTTGAGCATTTGCTCCAAACCAAGCTCTCTGTGGCAGAAGAATCTTTTCTTTGGTGCTGTCTAGGGCCAGTAGGTCCATAGCTAGGGTTTTGCCTATTTTGTTTTGTCTTGTGTTTATGGACAGTGGTAAGCCGCCATGTAGGTGCAAGGAATTGAACCCAGGTCCTCTGGAGAAGGAACTAGTGCTCTTAACAGCTGAAACACTTCTCTAGTCCCCATAGCTGGAGTTTTACTTTCCCCAAATTGGGCCCAGAAACCAAAATGTGCCTCCAAAGAGCTTCCAGTAAAATCTCTCCCTCCCACTGTCTCCCAGGTGAGCCAGGACTTCCTGTACCTCATGCAGACAGTGTTGGAGGTAGTGGTGGATGCTCAAAAGCAGGTCTGACACCAAAATCTAGTCTGCCCTTCAAGCTTTGGGCGGCCATCCCAACCACCCTTCCAGTTTTGTGTTTCCGAATTCCCCTGAGTCTACCCCTCCATGGCCATCGGTTCATTCCAAGAGACCTGGGCTCTTGTGCCCTTGCCCATGGGGCCTCGAATCCGAATCCCAAGAGTCTTTGCATGACTCCCCACCCTGGGAATCCAGTTTTGCCCAGACTTAAGTTTCCACCTCCAAGAAGCCATCCTTATTTCACTCCGTGGGCTCACAGTTTCTCCTCATGGAATGTAAAGCTGTCTCTACTGTATTTATGTCTGATATATATATACCTCGCTGATACTTTGAGCCCTTTCAGAGGAGGTCTGACTGCATAAATTAATTGATTGGATTTTTTATTCCTTAATGTTCGTGGTTCAGGCACTGGATGTCTTCACCATGTTTCAGGCCAGCTGTGTGTCCTGCTACCCCAGCATGGTGCTCAGAACAGTGCAGGTAGACAGTGTAGACAGTGTAGGCGGTATAGACAGTTCACCTACTTAGTAGTCATCCCACCAGGAGGTGGTGTAGAATGAGCTGGACACTGAAAACTGAGTCCAGTGTTCAAATCTACTTGGTTTTAGCCTGCCCAGAATTACAGAATTACAAGTTTATTGCTGACTTCAGAAGTGGGAGGGTTTTCGTTAAAAATATGGACCTCCTCTATCTCTTGGAAGACCAACATATGCCCAACAAGCTACAGACTAGCACCTGAGAAGTAGCTTCTCTCTTAGAAGGAACATCCCTTGGTAGACAGACCACTGTCTTTCTGACACTGCGTGCTAGTTGCCTTTAGTCACTACCCAGTTCTTTGTTGGGCTACACTCTCTGCATGGGCCCCTCAGGCATTTCGATGTGCGACCTCTCTGAAGGTTGGTATGTCCGTTGGAGTCTCATCTCAGCCCTACCATCCACCTTGTGTGGCTATAGATGCCAGTGTGGACAATAGCTCCAGCATGTGAGTCCCTCAGGAGGCACTGAGCATGCAGAAGGAGGTTCAAGCGTTAGGGACATTTGTGTGATGGTGCATGCCTACCCACTGACCGTTCCCTGTGTTTGCTTCAAGTGCTACCAGACTGGGCTCATGTCCCGGTATGTGGAGTCCTGGAGAACAGGAGATACAGCTTTCTGGCGAGGGCCTTTCGGAAGTTTCTTATATGAACCAAAGAAGGTCAGTGCTACCACCTTCAATCCTCAGGCGCTTCCCCAAGTCACTGTGCTGTTCTTCCAGCACTTAACCCAACCCCCAGAGTGGTGTGAGGCTTAGACAAGGGAGGAGGTAGACCGACCCTAATAAACACACTGCTGATGGCTGCCCATGCCTCAGATCAGGCTTAAGGACTTAGAGTTCAGGATCCTGACACCCTCTTACTCTTAGATGCTGTTCCAATTGCACCTTCTCCTCAGGAAGCTGAGTGCAGCCCACACTCACTTCTAGATTGGAAGCCTCTTGCTTCGTCTGCACAGCATGCTTGAATGTTTGTCCACCTTTCCCAGAAAAAACTGGTTGTTTCTCATCAGCTGCCCCATGCCTGGGAAGAAGTCTGGTCATTTGTATCGAGACTCTTGAGAATCCTTTGACCCAGAAATTACATTTCTGAAAGTCTGTTACACACACACACACACACACACACACACACACACACACACACCAAAACAAAACCCAAATGCTGCTGCTTGTGCATGTGTTAGTGACATTTTTATTTATAATAACAAATGACTAGAGGCAACTGAGGACCCAACAAAGAGAACAGGTAAGCACACTGGGTTATAGGGACTTGATGCAACTTTCTCCTAGATTTTAAAGTTATGTTTTTAATGATGTTCTATGCTTATGCTATAAGAGCAAGTGACAAGTGCTAAGTACAAAACAGTACACACCCAGTAGGGGAACTAACTTAAAATGCACAGAGAAAATATGAAATATATGAAATATTAGCAGGTTTGGGGAGGGATTATGGGCAATTTTCATTTTCCTCATTATGCTTTTCAAATTATCTGGAATAAACACCTATTACCTTTATAATTAGGAAAACAAAGCCAAAACCAAAACAAGTGGAAAAGAATGAATCATGCTTGCCTTGCCGTTCTTTTTGTTTAATTTAAAAATAGCTTTTATTGTATTTTTCCCTTATTATAAATGCAAAACATGTTCACTAACAAAAAAAAAATCATCAGAGACAGACAAAAGGAAGGAACCTAAATGCACCTGCAAGCCATCTCTCCAGGATGCCAGCCTCACTTCCAAACCCTTCCCCATCCCACACATGGGCATGTGTATAAACACATACACACATGCTTATATGAACATCACCATGCCAGCCCTGTCAGGACCATGACGTAGCTTAGTATAGAACACTTTCCTAGTGCTTGTGAGGCCCTGGGCCCCCATCTTACACATACAGGTGTATATGCTATCACTCTCCTGCAGGGTTCTGGAACTGTCCATGCTCGGCTCTGCATGGTGTCCCCCATTCTGTGTCCCTGCCCTTAAGAACAGGGTGTGGATGTTGTTTCTTTTCCTAGCTTGGAGCAGATGGTCTTCTGACCATTTGCCCCATGAGGGAACCTCCCAGCCTGTGACTTGCATCCTTGGGACATCGGAGCCTTTTGTTTCTCACCTAGATCCAGCCACAAGGGCCAGGATGATGCCTCCCACATTCAGATGGCCACCAAAACTTTGCCAGTACCCGCTTTGCCCCTTGAGAAGGCTCAGGATCCCACCCTCTTTCCAGTCCTGCTCTGTAGATGTCTGATTACACGTAGATGTTAAATCAACCGTACAAATGTCTGTCTCTGCCTTCAGGCCACAGGCAGACACTAGCATCCAGGAGGAGACAGGTAGTATTTGCCAGTGTGTGAGGGAGGCTCGGGCACTACGGTAGAGGAAATGAAGGGCTCCCCAACCCCAGCCCAGCTCAGGGAAGGCATCCTAGAACACAACCTGAGCAAGGAGAGAAAAGGATGGGTGAGACAGAGCAAAGGCCGGGAGGCTACAGGGACCATGTGCAGAAGAAGGTGACCCAGCCCAGGATCTCAGGCTTAATAAGGGGAGAACAGAAATGGATTAAACCTCGACTCCATACCGGGCCTTTATATTACCTCATCTGGTCCTCAGGGCAATTCTGAGCTAGGAGCTATTTTAGGAAAATACTCTCATTATTGTTCTCCATCAGTGAAGAAATTGAGGTTCAGATTAGGAAAATAGCTTGCCCAGATCACATGGTTAGTATTTATATACAGATGCCTAATCTCTGGAATGAAAAGGTGAATATATTTCAGTGTGGGTCAGGCATTAACCTTTAAGAGACTGACTTTGAGAGCAGGAAGTTGGTGGCACACGCCTTTAATACCAGCACTTGAGAGGCAGAGGCAGGTAGATCTCTGAGTTTGAGGCCAGCCTGCTCTATAGAGTGAGCTCCAGGACAGACAGGGTGTTACACACACACATGCACATGCACATACACACACGAACCTAGAGGAGACAGGAAGTGGGCTTACTGAGGAGGGGTTGATGGTACTATTCTCTTGGATCGCCATGCTAGGCAGATGTATTCATTACTTCATTTACTTCAGAGAGGCTCAGAATTATAGGCTAGGGCCCTCAGACTTTTGTAGAACTCCCCAGGGTCAGAGGAGGCAGTCTAGAGAGCAGGCTGGGATGGTGTTGGGAGGGGCAAGGCTTTGGTGAGAGAGGAAGTGGCTTTGGGAGATAGTGAGTCCTTGCCAGCTGTAAGCAGAGTCCTTGTAGAGACATGGTAAAAGGCAGCCAATCCTCTTTCAGGTTGGGCTTTGCTCTCTAGGAGCCTCAAAGTCCCATGAGCTGTGTTCTGCAGGCTTTACCTGCTGTTCACAATCCAGGTGGCTTCATGCACCAGGGAAAGAGCATGACAGAGACAGGTGGGACACTTGGCAAGACCGAGGGAAGTCCCATGTGGGGTGGTATGAGAGCCCGCCATCATTGTGCTGTCCATCCTGCTCTCTAGTATGGTGAACTCCTCATGCTGGCAGCCGGCACAGGCCTGGCCCCTATGGTGCCTATTCTGCACAGCATCACAGACAATGAAGACGATGAGACCTTTGTCACCTTGGTCGGCTGCTTTAAGACCTTCGAGGGCATCTATCTGAAGACCTTCTTCCAGGAACAGGCCAGGTTCTGGAACGTGCGAACCTTCTTTGTCCTCAGTCAGGTGAGCCCAGGGTGGGGACCTCTTCCCTAGTAACCTGTATTCCCTGTGTGCTGTCCTGGGCTGGCTGTACCCTCTGTGCCGTACTTTAGTAATAACCCCCATGTGCTCTGTGTGGATTGTAGGCATCACCAAGTCCATCGTACAGAGGAGGAAGCAGGCTTATAGAGGTGCTGGGTCAAGGGGGAGTCAGGACTGAGCCCCATATGCTTCACACTCCTGAGCTCCAGTTCGTAGCTGCTGCCCTCAGCTGTGTCTCACCCATCCCCTCTGGTCACTTGTGTGGAGTCAAAGCAGCAGCAGTCCTGTTCACATCTTTGTGGCCAAGAATGTGCCATGATGCCTAGCAGGAGGCCAGATCCCTTAGTAGGGGCTCTGTCGAGAATGGCTGGGCAGTGCTTTAGTAAGATCCCTGCCACCTCCACCTGTTCTTTCACAAAGCTGCGGAACAGCTGCTGTCAGACTCAGTGAGCTGTAAGTTCTCTAGCTGGAAGCCACCCCATGTCCTGCTCTCTGTGTCCCCATCACCCCAACTCTTGCCACAGCATGGCATATCACACCAGGCCTTCCATTACTATTGTCTGCTTCTAGAGGGTCTAGTCTCACTGTTTCCTGTACTCCCTAGGTTGGGGTTCCCTGCTGCCCCTTCCCCATTTCCTTTAGCTTGAGGGTCAGCCTTATATACTGCAGATACCACCTCCTCAATTTCCTTTTTGAAAAAATTCTGGAAAATATCTGACAACTTACATGGTCCTCAACCAGATAGCTGGTGCCAGGAAACTGGATTGCTGTCCTCTCCAGAGCTTTGTAGATTCAGTCTACAGACCCGTCCACAGGTGGAAAGCTCTTTGAGATGCACTTGGGAGGGTCTGTTTGGTGAACATTAGCAGCAGCTGGAAGTGCCCAAGGCAGGACATAAAGCAGAAGGCTGGTGTGCTGCAGAGAGGACTAGGGAAGGCCATATGGCCTGCAGAAGCCTGGGCCAGGAAGGGAAACAGGGCACAGGCACCTGGCAGATCCACTGGCCCTGGCTGCTACCTAGCCCTCTTTCCCTCTGCCCTCACCCTCAGAGATGCCAGGGCCACAAAGGAAGGTGAGATACCCCCTGCCCTAGGGGACAGGGACAGCTGGTCATGGCTGTCCATCTTAGCTGCCTTCTATTGCTGATAAAGACCAAGACCAGAATCCACTTGGGAAAGAAAGGGAATGCGTCAAGCCTTCATCTGTAGTCCATCTGGAATAGGAGTCATGGCAGAAACTCTAACCTGAACACAGGAAGCAAAGCAGAGCCATGAAGGAATGCTTCTTCCTGGGTTGTTCAGTTTACTTCCTTATATAGCCCAGGGCTCCCCGCTCAGAGATGGCACCGTCACCACAGTGAGCCAGACCCTTCCACATCAGCTACCAGTGAAGAGAATGAGCTGGCATGATGGCACACACCTTTAATCCCAGCACTTGAGAGGCCAGAGCAGTCAGATCTCTATGAGTTTGAGGTCAGCTTGGTCTACATAGTGAGTTCTAGGCCAGCCAAAGCTATACGTAGTGAGAATCTGTCTCATGAGAGAGAGAAAAAGAGAGAGAGAAAGAGAATGTGCTCCACAGGCTTGCCTATAGGCCAATCTGATAGAGCCATTTACTCAACTGAGGGTCGTTCTCAGATGACTCCAGCTTGTGTCAAAGTTGACAAAACTGACCAGGGTACTGCTTTTCTTTGAACATGTCTCTGTGTGCCATTCAGAGCACTTCAATCCCCACTGCAGTCTCATGAGGCTTGTACTGCCATCCCGTCTCTTTCACAGATATGGAACCTGAGGTAACAAGGTAACAGCAACAGACAGCTGGGTACCAGCCCAGCTAGTCCTGCACAGAGGCCATTGTCTTAGTCCATCGGGATAGTACACATACATGCTGGCCAGCACGGAGGGCAAGTGGGGTGAAAGTTCACTTCCGGCCCTGCCAGGCTTTGATGATGCTGAAAGTTGGGCAGGGGTATGGACTGGCTGGCTTCGTCACAGGAGTAAGGGTGACTATGGTGGCTCTACTCACCCACATGCGCTTGACACAGATCGATCCTTTCCCTGCCTGAGCCTGGCAGCACTCCTTCTACTCCCTGCCAGCCTGTCCATTACCCTGCACTGCCTTGCTCCTAGCCCTTTGCTGGCTCCTACTGTCCTCAGGACTTCCCAAGCCCAGTGGCCTGATGGCCTTGACAGCTGCATCTGCTGGCCTTCCCTCTCTAATGCTGTGTCCTGATGTCACGGGCAAGCTTGCAGGTACAACTGTGCTGTGCTTTTCTGGTACTAGCCTTTGTTCCTGCTGTCCCCTGCCAGGTGTGCTGTGTCCCCTCCCTTTCCCAATGCCTACTCACCCTTGCTAGATCTGCCTGTGGGCAAGTCTATCCCTGAGTGCAGATACCTGGGTACTGTTCATGCTCCTGCCGTTACAGCGCCTACCACCCTGTCATTGTTTAAGGGTTCTGCCTCACCGAGGAGTGACCAGACTTGGTGCATCTTGGTGTGCACAATTCAGGTAGGACTAGTGGAACCAAGGGGTTGAGGAGAACTAGGAAGTGGGAAGGAAAGATGGGCCGGCGAGGTCTGCTCGCTCTACCCTTGAGATTCCTCTAGATAGGGAGTGATTGAGGGAGTGTAGGAAGATCCAAGTTACCAGAGAGTGCTCCTGTCAGCACAGTGGACCTTGAAGTGAAGCTACAAAGCCTGAAAGCACGTGGGACACTAGGAGCTCCTGGGCCTCCCCAGGGCTGTGTTCTTACTCTGGCTGGCAGGACCACGGTTCTCCAGAGCCTATGCCTTCATCTCATAGCTCAGAGACTCGGAACTCAGCATGGCAGTGGCAATGGAGTTAGGAGCTTCTTTTGGTGAAGGATTTCTCCCATGTCCTGCAGTGGCAGAAGAGAGCTGGTTGGGTGAACACCAAGAACCCTCAGGAGTCATCGCTGCTCTCTCTTGTCTTCCCAGGAGGTCTCCCCAGAACAGCTTCCCTGGAGCTATCGTGACAAGACCCACTTTGGCCGCCTGGGCCAGGAGCTGGTTGATGAGCTGGTGGCCTGCTGCCGGAGAAAGCCATTTACATTAGTCTGTGGCTCACCTGCATTTACTGAGGACATGGCTAGGTATTTGCTGTCTGCTGGCCTGACTGAGGACTCCTACTTCCTCTTCTAGCCCTAGCCTTGAACTTTAATCAGGGGTACAGAGAGGAGCCCAGACCAGAGTCAGAAGACATGGAGCACAGGCCTGGGCCTGCTGCCGACTTTCCCAGAGACTTTGGAACTTCCTTTCCTGTCTGCTGCATCCTGCTGTGTGGAGGGAGGCCAGAAGTTAGCCTGGGAGTCAGGGAAGACTGTTCTACGGGAGCCAAGCAAACGGAGTCCTGCTGGGAGGGGTTAGCCAGGACAAGGGGTGAGGAGCCTCTTGTACTTCCAGAGTCCATCAGTGCTGAGAAAATGACTTGGGAAAAGCTCAGAGCTCTTGGGAGGACTTTAACCGTGCCTCCTGTGGGGTGAACCTGACTTGCAGAAGGCCTTGGGTCTGTGACCTGACCATGTCCTCAGACTAAGGCCCTGCCTGGATCATCTCTGTATCCCTGACAAGTCTTTCCTGCCACGATCAGCGTCACGGTTAGTCTCAGGAGGCCAGCTCAGAGTCCTTTGCCCACAAAAGAAGAGGAACAGAGCCAAATGCCCCTCCCTCCTGCAGGCAGCCACATAGCCTGTGCCTTCAGCTCTCGGTGCCCTGGCGACGGTTGCTATGGAGATCTAAAGATAGAGCAGGAGTCAGGAGACCTGGGTCCCTCTCCCAGCTCTGCCCACTGAGTGGCTGCTGATCCAGGTCCACCCAGCCCCCACCTCCACCTCCTCTATCCTGCACGGGGCATGCCCTCTCCAGGGAACTCACTGCCCCGAGCATCACGTTAACTTAATGAATTCTGCTTTCCACAGCCTGGGCCCCAGTGTGCTGCGCCAGCACAGGCTAGATACAGGCAGTCCCAGACTTCTAATGCTCAGCAGGGGAATGTTAGAAGCTGAGAGCCAGGAACCATCAGGATTAGGCATTTATAACTATGGAGTTGCAGTCTCCCCTCCCCCATCCCACCCCCATAGCAGAGCTCAGATGCCAGAACACCCTGTCCAGCAGACTCAGTGTACAAACAGGTAAACCAAGGCCTATGAGTGACTCACCCAAGGTGAATGCCAAGACAACCCTACAAGTCTCCCATCTCCTGCTCCTCCTGACCCCTGTGGTTGTACACCATGCTTTTCAAACGGGGTTCCTCCCTGAAGGACAGCAGTGAAGGTGGCTGAAGAGATCACCAGGCCCCCGTCAATCATAGCAGGTCTGTTTTTACCTCAGCCTCATAGTGGGGCATGGAGGAATTTTTGTCTAAAAGGACTTTTCTATCCCACCCTGAAAAATCACTACAAAGAAATCCCTGTTCACTGCACAGCCATGGTGAACAGCTGAGCAATGGGAAGCTTCCATACTGCACCGCAGGGACACGGGACCTCTGTCATGGTTTTACAGGGCATTAGGTGTGACTTCTCAGAACCAAGTGTCATGAGCAAATTAAAGCTGCTTGAGCACAGGTCAAGCAAGACTCTTTCAGTTCCTCAGCCTCAGGGTCATTTTCCTCTTGAGTCTCAGTCTACCACAGTGTGACAAGACTGAGAGCAGAGCTCCCACAGGGCCCATGGACTCTCCTTGCCCCACCTATGACTCAGGCCAAGACGCCTGTCATCTACCCAGGCCTCTGAGAACTTCATCAGTGTGCCTTGGTGGGGCTTGCTGGTCGTCCTCATGGATGCCTCTGGGGGACTAGGAGCCCACCTGTCCAAGGAAATAGCAGTGACGAGCTAGGCCCAGGCTTTCCACTGGAGAGCTCCGGCCAGGGCACAAGTTGGCTTGCATAGCTCTGAAAGGGGTAGATGTTACAGAAGCGGTGATCACAGTGCTAAGAGAGCGGTGAGGAGGGCTTGAGCCTGCAGAGAAGACGGGCACTCCCCTGCCCCAATGATAGAAGCTTCAAAAGCAAGGCTTTTGCTCATTCCTGGAAGGGTCAGAGAGGCCCCACTTAAGGGGAAGAGCCTAGGGTAGTCCCCACATGTCTCTCTCTGTACCACTTTAGATATTTGATGCCTAGGCAGTAGATTAGGCCACTCAGAGGCAACTGACATCCCCTGTCCTGGGTGAGTTGCCTTCCTCTTCACCTCCCTTAGTGTAGAATCTGGGCAGCCTGCCTACTAGTGGGACTAATTATCCTGAATATTGGGCACAAGTATGTCTGTAATGCCAAGATGCCAGTCTCCTGTCCCCGGGTTACTTGAGAGCTCAAGTTCGCTGTTCCTGGCAAGGTATAGGTGAGCGTTTAATAGGACTGATTGGGATTCATGAGGTCATCACACTTTGTGGGTTGGTTCTGTCAGCTGGCCAGTTCCTTGTGAAGATGGCTGGTTCTCTGCAGGCTGTGGAGATAGAGTTGGGCACTGCCATTGTGTGATAGTGCAACGGCAGGGGACACTCAGGACCTGAACATGACCTGAAGGCCTCAGAAGTCCAACAAAGAGCTCACTTCTCTGTGAGTGAGACAGCTTAGCATCCCAAGTTATTCTGCCACTGCCCCTCTGCTCAGTCCAGAAGCATGGCCAGAGGCTGCGTGGTCTCAGCCATCCACCGTGTTCCCAACACACAGGGTACTCAGCAACTCCTGAAGGTAGACTGCCTGAGACATAGCAGAACTGAAGTGCTTTACAGGTGCCAGGAATTCTCATCACAGGAGTCATGCCACTGTATTTACCCAGGTTAGAGACAGACACTAAGCCTCTGAGCCACCAAGAACAGGTAAGGGGGCACAAGTTCCAAACGTATTAATTGTTTTAAAGGCTATATGACATGTGAACACACCTGGTGGTCTATGTAAAGACTGTTTCTGTACGGTGTGAGGCAGCCAAGGCTAAAATCTATGAAAAAGCAGAATGAGAAATAAGCAGTTCTCTTTTGTTTGTTTTTCTCTTTGTTTTGTTTTGGTGCTGGGGACAGATTCTAGAGCCTCGTGGATGCTAAGTTAAAGACATGCTCCGCCACACATAGTTCCAGTGGAGATCCCAGTGGGCTATCAGTTTGTAGTTAAAATGAATGGACTGGGTCTTCATGTACCAGCATAGAGTAAATGTTTTTAAAAGTCATCATGGAATAAGCTGCACATAGTAACAGGACAAGTACAGGGCTAGCAGGATCACCCTGCAGCTAACGGTGCTTGCCATCAAGCCTAACAACCTGAGTTTGAACCCTGGGACCCACATGGTGGAGGGAGAGAGTCAACTCCCACAGATTGTCCTCTAGTGTGTGCACACACATGGAGCAATAAAAGCAAGATTTGGGGGTTTGGACGGTCCTTGTACTTGGGAATTATAAAACTCCAAAATAATGTTTTCTGTTGAGATAGCCCAGCTGCAAGCACAGAGCTGACTGATAGAGAGAGATGGACCAGAGCGGGCCGGGGCCGGGGAGGTGAGAGTGGGGGGCCGCGGCCTTCCAGAGCTGCTCTTGGATTGTGTTACAGAACAGATGTGAAATGATCTGGCAGATCCAGGTGTTGGTTCCCTGGAAGCTGCTTTGTTAGTCTCTCGTCCCCCACCTGTGTTTAAGAACGGTTCTGCAATTAGATTGCAAAACAGTATCTGCCGAACCCAGCCAGGTACACACATGTGACCCCAGTACTTGGAAAGTGGAGACAGGAGGATCAGATCAAGATTATTCCTGGCTACATGGGAAGTCTGAGGGTAGTTTGGGGTACCTGGGAGGCTGTCTCAAAAACAGAGCAAAACAAAATGATCCTAGGTAGCCAGTCCATATACTCGGAAACTAGAGGCTTCAGGTGCTCGTGGGCTATCTCACCTCCTGATAGAATTGTCCCTTCATGCCTCCATGATCTTCAGGAATTCACTGAAGCATATCTGTGAGCTGCTGTGCCCCAAGCTGCCTAGGTGTGGAAGGCAGCACTGCAGGCAGCGATGTTCCTGGCCCACAGGCCTTGTTCTCCCTCTTTTCCACAAGAACTCAAATCAAAATAACTTGGCAAACACTTTGGTGGTACACTCCTTTTTCCTTTTTAGATGCTTTTAAAATGGAGCAGACCTTGGTTCAAGTCTCTTCCTGACTGTGACCCACAGCAAATAATTTAGCCCCTGTGAAGCTCAGTTTGCTCATCTCTACAATGGGGATGTAACCATCCCTCAGGTCATCAATCCCAGTGAGGATGGGGAAAATGGTTTGCACAGCTTGATGTGGGTGCCCCCAGCCTGGATTAGTAGGTTTTCACCACTGAAGGAACAGAGGAAAGAGAAACGGAGGAAAGAGTTAAGAGCTTCAGTCCATGGTCAGCTGACTCTACTGCCTGGAGTCTAAGGCTAGGTGCAGCATCATAGCCACTGGTGAGAGAGGACAGCTTTCTGCCTCCTAGCATCCAAGAAACGGCAGAGAGATAGGAAGGGGTCAGGACAAGATGTATCCCCCAGACACCCCAACACCCCTGCACCCTCAGTGACCTACTTTCTCCAGCTAGGTACTGCTAAAGTGTCTAGCACCTTCCAAAATAGCACCACACATGGGGATCAGACCTTCAATATATGGGGACATTTCATATTCAAAGCATAACAGGCCCAGTCTCCCCCCCAACCCCCCCCACACCTTTTTCTCTCCCTAGTGGCCATTCCCAGCAGTGCTTAACTCATGGTGACTGCTGTGGACTTTATTTCTTTCCAGACATCACTGTTAATAATCCTCTGCACACCCGGCATGATGATACACTCCCATAGCCTCTGCCACTCAGATGCTGAGGAGAGAGGATCTCATGAGTCCAGTGTTCAAGACCAGCCTGAGCAGCATGGCAAGACTCTCTGAAATTTTCAGAAAACAAAAATAACAACAAAAAACCCCACACCACCTTCATTCTTTTCCCCATGTTTTGGAGGATTTTGACCCCAAATTTCAAGTATTGAGTCATGATTACTTATCTTCCATTTTTTTTTTATTAAAGATGTAGACAGATGCCATTCAGAGCTACTCCTGGGCACTGTTCATGACTGACATGACACTGACCAGAGGCAGAGGAGCTCTGTAGTGTGTATCGCCTGCAGACCCTGCATCTGACTCCTTCAGTGGTCGTGAACTGTGAAAACTGCTGGCCTTGCCCAGGTAAACACTGTTTTCATAGCTGGTTCCGCTGGCAGACAGGAACTGAGTTTCTTTGTCATACCTTAGTATGGAGCTACCTGAGGGTTCCAGGACCCCCACCCTGAACGGCTCACTGTAAATGGACGGCATGCACCAGTACCACACAGGGATGTAACAAAGCTGTTTGCATACAGGTCCCACAGACCCTGGCTAGAGGCCACAATATCACCATGCCTGCTGCTCCCAGTGACAGAACACACTAGCTTATATGGGGTGGGGTGACAGTCTTGACCAGATCCCAGATCTCAGAGTTCAGAATGGTGTCCAGGTAGGCAGACTGAGAGGATGGTAGGCCACACCAGTCAGCTTGGAGGTCAGGTGGGCCTGGATTAGTCCCACCACCTGGGTTCAAGGGAACTTTACCTCTGGTCTGGCTGACCACAGGGGCACCTGAAAGAAGAGGGAGAGGCCAGGTTGTTTGCTGCAAACAATTAAAACTTGGACCCAATATGTTAGATGTAGACCTCTGAGCTGGAACACATGATTTGAACACAGGGTGGAAAAATGAACGTGGAAGCTGCCCTAGAAGCCATACTATGTGTTGACCCATGGCTCTGACCCCTTCCCCTCACTATGCCCCAGCCCCTGGCTCTTACCTGCTCCTGGGTGATGCTGACAAGCCAGCCATGGTTCCCCTGGGGCTGTGTCCTTAAAGATGTCGAATTCTGAAAAAAGGAAAATACATCAAAGTGGATCACATCCACTGAAGGCCAACTATGGGTACTGGATTTTGTTTATAATTAGTTCTCTCTCTCTCTCTCTC